GAATCGCGGTCGACTACGTGGGAGTCCAGTGACACAGCCATTACGCTAACTGCTGGTCCTGCTACCCTTCTATCTAATACCTCAAAAGTGAATCCTTAATGAAACTAATCTCTTAATTTTATTTTTTGTTCCTTGGAGATTGTATCATGTTTTCAACTGGTATGCAGAGATGATGAATTTGATCTGTGAGAAAATATGTTAACCAGAGTAGAAAAAGAACCAGACCAGGAACCCAAGAACTATAACTTTAACTCAGGCTTAGAAATTGACACTAACTGTTTCTTTGGACTGAGTAATTTTGGAAACCATGTATGTTGAATGAACAGAGCATTAGCTTTTGAATCAGAGCCACAAGGAGAACCTGCTTCTTTGGACTCAACCTCCTACCTCTCAATTTCTCATCTTTAATAATGGTAATAAAATTCTGTCTTACAGGGTTGTTGTAAATATCTAATTGATTATTAGCAACTGTAAGTCCCCAGAGGGCTGGAAATCTCTCTCTTTCTTTAAAAGGATTGCTTATTTAATTTCATTTGTTGTTATTATTTATTTTTTAATTTGACTAGAGAGAGAAAGAAAGGGAACGTGAGAAAGCAAGACACCAGGTCCAGGATTTGAACTGCAGTTTGCCATATGGGAGTCCAGTGCCTTAACCACCACACCTCCTGATGGCCCCAAGGGCTGGAAATCTCTTAATCAACTTTGCCTTTCCTGTGTCCAGAAGTATCTGTTCTTTGGGTGAATACATGTATTATTTTGTTAAGCATGCTTATAAATTGTAAAATGCCATGTAATTACAAAGTCATTGTGTTTGTGCTTCATACATTCATATTAAGTGCTATAAAATTTAAGTCTTTTTATTTCCCCCCTTTATTATTATTATTAGAGATTTTTGTTATAGGGCATATGTACTCGCCAGAGACAGAGAGTAAGGGAGAGACAGAAAGCAAGAAATCACCCCCCCAGGGGAGATGGCCATGCCACAATCTCTTCTCCTCTTAGGATTTTGGGCATGCACACACATGTGTCCGGTGTGAGTTTAGGCTGCTGGGTCTGGGTCTTGAACCACAGTCAGCCGTGTGCGAGTCTAGTCCATATTCCCCTTTATCTTAAAAGCCTTCAGGAAGAGAACACTCTAGCTTAACCATGTATCATAACCATGATACAATCTCCAGATTCATTGCCTTTTCAAAGTAAGAAAAAATGTGGAAGGAAAAATTGAGCTATTTTCTGGAATTTTGTTTTTAAAAGTTTAATTATATACATACTTAGCCTCATCTGTGATTATTTAAAAATAGCAGGCAATAACAAGTCATTTTGTCCTAAACAACTGTCTTTGTCCTAAATTGGTTAAGTGACTGGTTCATAAATTCAGAATTCTGTGGTGCCATAACTTTTATAGAATAAAACATCTTTGTGTGTTCTCTGAGTTTTCATAGTCCAAAAATAGTAATTTGGGTTTCTCTCTTAATGTCAATAATTTTTAAAATCTCATCACCTATCCTTTTCCTTCTTCTTTAACTTATTTATTACACATCTTGTAATAAATAGATTGACTTGGATACGTTTTTAAATCATTAGTTTCTTTACCATTTTAAAATAATCCTTACTTAACATATAAGATAATCAAGCCTTTTAAGAAATCCTAGAGAAAGAGACCAGCAGATGGCGTAATGGTTACATCACTAGATTCCCACATAGTCAACCATGGTTTGTGTCCCTAACCCAGTGGCTTAAAACTCACGTGGGGGTAGGGGTAGGGAGGGGGTGACAGCAGGTGATGTGGTGGTTAAAACACTGGACATTCCCACATAATTGACCATAGTTTGAGTCCTGGACCTGGTGGTTCGCTTTTTCACTTTCCTTCTCTCTCTCTCTCTCTGTGGCCGAATTAAAATAAATGAATAAACAAAATTACATAAACAATAGGCAGTATTCTATCTGTTAAAAAAAATAACGTAAAAAAAAAATTCACACCGGGTACGTGTGCATGCATGGACAAAATCTTGAGAGGAAAATGGAGAAGGGATTTCAGCATGACTATCCCCCTGGGAGGTGATTTCTCGCTTTTGCCTCTCTCTCTCTGTGTGTGTGTGTGTCTCTGTCTCTGGTGAGTGCACACACCCTGTAACAAAAATCCCTCTTAAAAAACAAACAAACAGTTTGAAAGTTACAACTATGTTGGCTAAGCCACATAGCCTACTCAGGAAGGGGAAAGACAGCTAACTTGGATTTACATGTGTAACTCGTTTAACTCACTAGTTAGTTTGGCTAGAGTCATTGCTCAGTTCAGGATCTGATTATGAATTGGGGGAATGCTGGTTTCAGCACTTTGAAGTGTCCTTGAGAAGTCAGTTGGGCCTCTGACACAGAAGCTGTCAGTATGACCTAAGTCTCACAGACTATCACTTTGATCCACAATTTAATTCTTACAGATATTGGCCAGAGTTTAGACTATCAGTATTTCCTTAGTCTGAAACAAAAATATCATAGAGGAAGTTTCTGAATTGAGGGTGAGGCTCGACTGGACACTGTTCAAGATCTCTTACAGGTATTTTTCTGATTGAGTGTACTCCCATTCTTTGGGTAGATACCTAGGAGTGGAATTGCTGGATTATATGGCAGTTTTTTTTTGAGAGGTTTTTGCTATAGGGCGTGTGCGCTTGCCAGACAGACAGAGAGAGACATAGAGACAGAAAGCGAGAAATCACCCCCTAGGGGGGATAGTCACGCCGCAATCCCTTCTCCTCCATTCTCCTCTCGGGATTTTGGGCACGCACGCACACGCGCCCGGCGTGAGTTCTAAGCCACTGGGTCCAGGACGCGAACCGCGGTCGACTACGTGGGAATCCAGGGACATAGCCATTACACTAACTGCTGGTTCCCTGGCAGTTCTATTTGTAGGTCTTTGAGGAACCTCTGAATTATTCTCCACAGTGGCTGTACTAATTTATTGAGTCATTAGAAAAGACATTTTTGCATAGAAAAACATAGGAAAAAACATCATGACTTTCCCAACAACCTAGTACATTCCCACCGACAATGTGTGTGGTAATATCTTTGACTGGACTGACATACAGTGTATTCATGCTGGAGAAATTCATTTTCTATGTTGTAAAGATATGCAGTGGATGGTATAAGGGCATGGAGAGCAACTGGAATACTAGAAACTGTGTGGGAGGAGGGTGGGAAATGGAGGAGAGAGAGAGGGAGGGAATTAAGAAACACAAAATGGAAAATTATCTGTTGAAGATAATATGTATGGTGATATCTTTGAACCAATATGCATTGTATTCTGGATGGGAAAATTCATTTTGTATGCTGCAGTGATATACAGTGAATGAGTGTGAAATAAATAAATTGAAAAAAGAAAACCAAAAAGATATACAGTGATTGAAGGTAAAAAATAAGAAAAAATAAAATATATAAAAAAACCTTTGCTACATTTCATGTTTTATACTTGCCGATGCATATACATACACACACACACAAGTATACAGAACAAGTATTATTACCATGGTGCTTCCATAACACTTGGCCATTGACTGGTTTTTGATATAGACCATTGACCGGCCTGTGACCTCTGTCACAGATCCCATTGTGTTGTCTGTTCCCTTAGATCTTCATTAACAACGAATGGCAGAACTCAGAGAGTGGGAGTGTGTTCCCTGTCTATAATCCAGCCACAGGAGAGCAGGTGTGTGAAGTTCAAGAAGCAGACAAGGTATGGCTTTCATAGAAAAAGAGTCCCTGTGAAATAAGCATCTTCAAACAGTAGTGCAGTGCATATGCTCTCTGCTCAGATCCATTCATCGGTCACTGTGTGTGTGTGTGTGTGTGTGTGTGTGTGTGTGTGTGAGCGAGAGAGCGAGAGAGAGAGCGCGCGCAGATGGTTCTTTATTTGTAGTGTTTAATCTCGTCAGTTGTGCCTCTTCCTAACAGGCAGATATAGACAAGGCGGTGCAGGCGGCCCGCCTGGCTTTCTCTCTTGGCTCAGTGTGGAGAAGGATGGATGCTTCAGAAAGAGGACGTCTGTTGGATAAGCTTGCAGACTTGGTGGAACGTGACAGAGCAGTTCTTGCAGTAAGTAACACAAGCAAACATTACATCTTCACCCAGGTTTATTATCCCACTGAAACTTAGATTCCCAGTCTTTTTTGTAAGCACTATAAAGCAGATCTGGGGGCGGGTGGGAGCTGAGGAGTATATATTACACATGAGAAATGAGAGCTATTTGGATTTGGGGATCAGGTGGGGAAGTGGATGATCAACTGAATCTCTTCTCACTGGTATTTGAAGAAAAAGGATAGCTTTCCATGACTGGCCCTTTATTGTTCGCACCTTCCTTCTCTGACAAACAAAACAAAAAGTCAAGCAAGGGAAAATGCTGTTTGCAAAAAATCAATACATGATCCTGTTGCAAATCACATAAGACTAGTTCTTAGCTCCTCAGAGATTCTCTCTTGAATCCTTCAGAAGCAGAGGACTCAAGACAGACCTCTCATACCCTTCAGTTCCATTTGTCCTGTCATTGTTCAGAACCAAGAGAAATAAGCTGTCGGGGACTGAAGCTTAATTTGACTAAAGCAGTCATTTTTCTCCCATAAGGGATGTCCCCTGCCTTAGTGGGTTTTATGGCTGCTGCTGCTGCTTTTAAAATACAAGTCCTTTTCTTTGAGACTATGAACTTTGTGGAAACTTTATGCACTGTACAAAGGGGATCTCCACCTGCACGACCTGATGGACCAGTTAATTTTCAGGGCTCCCTCATTCGGTCAGAATACTCAAACCTTCAGTCCTGTGTCCTCGCATCTACTTGGCACAATGGTGCCCTGCTGCGCTTGCTTTGAGAGAGGGAAGTCATTAGTGCCCTTCCTACGATGGCTCTTCCCTCTCCCATCCCCCCTCAGAGAGCCATTCATAGTATGAAAACAAAAGGGATTCCTTTATTGATATGATTTGGAACTCCAGCTGTGTATAACATTCATTTGTCTATAAAAACATTTTCTAACTCTGGGAATACTGTTCCAGGAGGTGGTTATGCATATTGTGAAAAGGGAGTTTTATAGTGAAGTAGCTCCTTCTTGAAAGTGCACAGGACACTGGACATAAGGGCTCTGGAAAGGCTAATTCAGTGTTTCTCAAGCTTATTTGAGCCTCACCACAATATTTTTGGCTAACCTACTTCATACCTTGCAAAGCAGTTCTCCAGAATATCTTGGAGAATGCTGGTTTCTACATTTGTCTCTTCGTTGGATTGTGATTTCCTTGATGATCAGAATTGTATTTTACTTCCTTTTTTGAAATCCTAACACTGTTCCTGGCACATAAATGGCAAATGAGGGCACAGAGATGGTCAGTAAATGTCTATTTGGTTGAGCTAAGTATATGTGACATTTACAACAGTTTGTGCTAGGAGATGGCATAGTTTATTTCTGCAGTCCTGTTTTTATAGCGTAAAACTGAGAATGCCTGCCTTTTTCCTATCCTGTCTCACTGTGATTTAATCTCTTCCCTTGACACCTCAATGAGATTTTTTTAAAGAATTATTTTCTTTAACTTTATTTATTATTATTATCATTATTGTTTTCCAGTTTGATCAAAGAGAGACAGACAGAGAGAGAGGAAGTGAGAAAGCAAACCACCAGGTCCGAGACTTGAACCGTGGTCAACCATGTGGGAGTCCAGCACCTTTAACCACCATGCCACTTGCCGGCCCCTACACCTCAATGAGATTTTTACTTTTAAGCATTCCCAGGCCACTTGAGAAGTAGATTTTAGTAAGAGGTAGCTCTGGAAAGGGGAGCTTCTGGCCCAAAACTGAAATTAATAGCTCATCCTAGGTAAGCAAACATAATTGAAGATAAAGTTAGGGTTGGCATCTCCCCGGTGAATTTGGTGTCAGCAGCTTATAGAGACCATTCAGGTGGCCCACACATAGCTCCACCTTTGCTATAGACCTTGCCTGTGTTAGCTGTAGGCAGAATGCAATGCCCATCTCATGAAACTATAAATGTTCTGAAAAGTACTAGGAAAGAATTTGATCCCCTTTAATAAAGGTGGGCTGATAAGTGACATACTATTTTAATATGGGTTTCATCTTGTAGTAAGTAGATAAATTGCACTTTAATAGCATTTTTATCATTAAATGGTGAATATTTCTTTTTTTTTCTTTTGAGAGGTTTTTGCTATAGGGCGTGTGCGCTCGCCAGACAGAGAGAGACAGAGAGATAGAAAGCGAGAAATCACTCCCCAGGGGGGATGACCATGCCACAATCCCTTCTCCTCCATTCTCCTCTTGGGATCTTGGGCACGCACGCACATGCGCCAGGCGTGAGTTTAAGCCACCGGGTCCGGGACTCGAACCACGGTCAACTATGTGGAAGTCCAGCGACATAGCCATTATGCTAACTGCTGGTCCCAAATGGTGAATATTTCAACTTTGTTGGCAATCAGATTTAGTTTTCATGCCAATATGTGCTATACAGTTTTCTTATGGAACAAAACATGAAATTACAAACACTCATTTTTGTTTATTTCATTTGTTAAACTTTTAACAACTTTAATTTCTCTCAGAATACCTTTTCTCATTTCAGTGCATCCATTTGTCATTGTTTTTGTTAGAGATTTAACCAGTTTAGGAACATGTCATTAAAATAATAATGTTTATAATGTAAAGCTGTTTAAGTTTTTTCTTTTTAGCAAATAGACCAGATACTTCACTCTTAATAGATAACGGTTGTTAACATAAATGTTTACAAAAAGCTTGCCTTCAAATTGCTAAAGTCTGGGCTTCCCTAGAGGAAATCTTGTTTATTTGGTGGTAATAAATAGACTCAGTGCACCGCGGATATTTCATTTCTCAGCAGGGGTCTTGGCAGCTGTAGAGAACGCTTTATATTCTCATCAGTTGCATAAAGACCCTGTTCCTCATTATGCATTCAGATTACTGTTGTAGATTCCAAGAAAAAAAAAATCCCCATTCAGCTCTGGTCATTAATATAATAGAAGCTGGTTTGATAAGCAGAATATTTCTTTACTATTAAGTAAAGAAATGTACATTTATGTACTTGGTAGTGGCTACTGGAAACACAAAGGTATAGGAACAAATGCATATGTGATCATTGCAATTTTTACTAGAAATTCAGCCAAACTGGCAGTACTAGAAATCACATTTGGGAAATCAGTGATCAGGTATGTATCACCACTTACATTTGTTTGTTTCTCTCTCTTCCTTTTTTCCTCTGCTCTAGAAATCACTTAGTGTATCACTGCAGAGTTCTGGGGTCTCAATTTCTCTACATTTCTTTTCCTACAGACCATGGAATCCCTGAATGGTGGCAAACCGTTCCTACAAGCTTTTTACGTGGATTTGCAGGGTGTCATCAAGACCCTTCGGTATTACGCGGGCTGGGCTGATAAAATTCACGGGATGACCATTCCTGTAGGTATGTGAGAGCTGAGAGTATCACAAAGGGAAATGTGAGATTCTATCATAAATACACTTGGACCACTGGATGCAAACTGCAGTCACATAGAATAAAAATGTGAGCAACTTATAGAAACTTTAACTGAGCAAAGAACCGAATTATGTGACTAACTCTGACAGTGTCCTTATTTCTACATAGATAGTCCATGCATAAGTCCTGGGGCAAACCAATTGAATCAGTACATCAGTCAACTATGGAGTATATGTATCTGCATGCCCACTGCAAAGCACTTAGCGTGGGTGCTAAGGGTATAGAGGGGTACTGGAAGGGGGGGAGTAATCAGGGAAAATTCCAAAAAGATTAAGACTTGACCCTTCTTTTTCTAAAACGTAAGATCTCCTCATTGGAAGGAAATGCTCTAAAATGAGATTATGGATGACTTTTCATTTTATTATTTTTTTCTATATTTACTACAGTGATTATGAATCACTTTCACAATTTGCAGAAGCAACAAAGATTATGGTCCTTTTATATTGTTATTAAGATCCAAGTCAGAAGGCAACCCTAATACATAAAACAAAGGTTGCTTCAGAAGAGTTAGAATTGGGTGCTAGGTAGTGTGGCAGTAGCCATTTATTTTTCATTTCAAAAAAATTTCAATTTAATTCACAGAGAAATTTACATTTTTCTGCCTGACAAATGTTTCCTCCCCTTGCACTTCACCCCCATAGTCCACCACCCACTCTCTACAAACTAATCTCCCCCTCACAGTCTCTAGCATTTACACCCATCTTATCTGCCATCACACCTTCAGACCTCTCAACCTCTGCCATAACACTCAGTACAAATTGAGTGGGCATATACAATGTGTATCTTTTGAAGTCTTTTATATGCATTCATTTCGAGTCAAACAACAGGATCTCATTGTTTTTTATAGCTTCATAATATTCCATAGTATATATCTGCCACAGTTTTTAAATCTAGTTACCAGTTTTTAGAAACTTGGGTTGGTTCCATGTCTTAGCAATTATAAATACTGCTGCAGTAAACATGGATGTGCAAATAAATGTCTTTCTGATTGTTTTCTTATCCTTTGGGTAAATACCAAGAAGTGGGATTACTGGGTCATGTGGAAGTTCTATTTGTAGGTTTTTGAGAAACCTCCATATTGTTTTCCACAGAAGTTGGATTTACATTCCCATCAATAGTGTAAGAAGGTTCTTTTTCACCACAGCCTCACCAGCACTTGTTGTTCTGATTGTTTTTATCCTAGCCATTCTAACTGGGGTTAAATGGTATCTCATTGTGGTTTGAATTTGGATTTCCCTTATGACAAGAGACTTTGAATATTTTTTCATATGCCTCTTGTCCATTTGTAAGTCTTCCTTGGAGAGTTGTCTGTTCTATTCATTTGCCCATTTTTAATTGGATTAATTTTTTTGTTTTTGGTGGATGAGCTGCTTGAGTTCCCTTTGTATTCTAGATACCAGTCTCCTGCCTGAGGAATAACTTGCAAATATTTTCTCCCAAATATTTTCTCCCATTGTATTTTCACTATAATTATTGTTTCCTTTGCTGTGAGGAAAGCTTTTTAGTTTGATGTAATCCATCTTGTCTATTTTAGGCACTATTGCCTGTGCTATAGGGGGTCTTATTTAAGAAATTTTTGCCTACTCCATTGTCTTCAAAAGCTTTCCTTATGTTTTCTACTAGTAGTTTTTATAGTTTGAGGCTGTATATGTAAAGCTTTAATTCCATTTTGATTAATTCTGGTTAATGATGAGTGATAGAGGTCCAGTATAATTTTTCTTCAGGTGGATATCTAGTTCTTCCAGCACCATTTGCTGAGAAGACTTTTCTTTTCTCCACTGCATTGTTTTATATTATTTGTAAAAGATCAGTTAGCTGCATGATTTGGGGTTTATTCCTGGTTTATTCTATTCATTTCCATTGGTCTATGTACCTATTTTGTGCCAGCACCATGCTGTTTTGATTATCACCGCTTTGTAATATACTTTATGACCGAATCACATGATGAGATGCCTCCTATTTTATTCTTTGGAACAGTACTGCCTTGGCAATATGGGGTCTTTTATGATTCTAGACAAATTTCATAACTGTTTCTTCTAGTTCTGTGAAGAATGTCTCAGGTAGGTGGATCAGAATCACAATGAATATATAAATTAATTTGGGTGGATGGTATCTCTATTGGGATGTTGATTACATCAGTTCTTTCAATCCAAGAGCATGGGATATCCTTGCAGTTTTTGTATCATACTCAATTTTTTCCTAGTTTTTCATAGTTTTCCTTGGAGAAGGCTTTTACCTCTTTAGTTAGTTTTATTCATAGGTATCTTTGTTTCGTAGCTATTGTAAATGAGATTGCTTTCTTCAGTTCCATCTCAGTCCATTCATTGTTGATGTATAGAGTTTTGTATGCTGACTTTGTATTCTGCAACTTTACTGAATTCACTTACCACTTCTAGGAGTTTTTTCATGGACTCCTTTGGATTTTCTCTGTATATAATTATATCATCTGCAAATAGGGACAGTTTCACTTCTTTTCCTATAGGAATGCCTTTTACTTTGCTCTTTTGTCTGATTGCACTGGGTAGGATTTTCCAGGAGTAGAAAGAGTGGGCAGCTTTGTCTTGTTCCCATTTTTGGTGGGAAGGCTTTTAGCTTCCCCCTATATAATATGTTTGTAGTAGGTCTGTCATATAGGGCTTTTACTATGCTAAGGAATGTTCCTTCTACCCCTGTTTTTCTGAGAGTCCTGGTCATGAAAAGATGTTATATTTTATCAAATGCTTTTTCTGCATCTGTAGATGGAATCATATGATTTCTATCTTTCTTTCTGTTAAGATGATATATTGCATTTATTGTTTTGTGTATGTTGAACCATCCTTACATCCCTGAGATAGAATCTACCTGTCATGGTGTATAACCTTCTTGATATGCTGTTGGATTTGGTTTGTTAGCATCTTGTTGAAAGTTTTTTCTCATCTGCACATGGGATGTTTTCAAAGATTGATGACATAGGGACCAGCAGTTGGCGTAGTGGCTATGTCACTGGACTTCCTTGTAGCGGACTGTGGTTCGAGTCCCGGACCCAGTGGTTTAAACTCATGCCAGGTGCGTGTGCGTGCATGCCCAAGATTCTGAGAGGAGAATGGAGGAGAAGGGATTGCTGCGTGGCCATCCCCCCTGGGTGGTGATTTCTCACTTTCTGTCTCTCTGTCTTTCTGGCAAGCAAACGTGCCCTATAGCAACAACAACAACAAAAAAAGATCGATGACATAATAGGTCACAAAACAAGCCTTTATAAGTTTAGTAGTACAGAAAATATACCCAGTATCTTCTCTCATCACAGTGGAACAAAACTTGATGTCAACCACAGAAAGAGTCCTTGAAACACACGAAAATCTGGAAACTAAGCAATATACTCCTGAATAACATTCAGACTTCTGAAGAAATTAAGACTGAAATAAAAAAAAATATTGAAATTAGCTATAATGAGCACACTACTCTCCATAACATTTGGGACACAGCAAAAACAGTCATAACAGGCAAGTTTATAACCATCAGTGCTCACAAGAAAAAAATTATAAAATGGCAGATAAATAACATTGTAACTTAAGGAACTGGAAAAACAACAACAACAAAATCTCTAAAAATAGAAGAAAGAAATAGATTAGAGTTGAAATAAATAAGATAGAGAATAAAAAAAAAGCTATACCAAAAAAATCTACAAAGTAAAAGCTAATTTCTAAAAAGAATTACTTATTTAATTTTATGTATCATTATTATTTTTAAAATTTGCTATAGGACACATACACTCACCAGAGAAGCAAGAGAGAGAGAAAGCAAGCTGCCAGGTCTGGAACTTGAATAGTAATTGGTAATATGGGAGTTCAGTGCCTTGACCACTGCACCACCTGCTAACCCCAAAAAGCTGAATTTTTGAGAGGATAAGCAAAATTGATAAGCCATTAGCTCTACTAATCAAGAAAAAAGAGAAAGTAACCAGATAGATAAAATTAGTAATGAAGCTGGTACTATTAAAACCGATATATTTGAAATACAAAAATTATGAGAATATTATTAGGATCTATATCCCAAGTAACTGAGAACTCAGATGAAATGGACAAATTTCTGGACAAGTACAAGTTACTTAGGTTGAATCAGGATGAAATTGAAAGCCTGAATAGACCAATAAAAAGTGAAAAGATTGAATCAGTGCTTTCACAGCAACCCCAGCAGGAAGGCTCTGTCATTAACATCTTTAGCTTACAGAGGAGGAAACCATGGCCTAGAGAAGTTAAGTACTTTTTCTAATTCCCACAGCAAATAAGTTTTAGAGTTAAATTTTGTTATTAGAACCTATGTTATCAATCATCCCACTAGAGGATTAATTTCAGTTCCTGGGAGGGAACAATGCCATCACAGGAAAGGGACAGATTAAAAGAGATATGAGGATGTTGGGAAGGGTGAGTAAGCATAAGGAAAGAAAATACCTATTTATTGAGTGTATCTTGGGTGCTGCTAAGTGTTGTACCAGGTTCTCTACCTGTGTTCTCTGGAAACAGTCTGCTTTCCATATAGAGTATATGCAAGCAAGAGCAGAAAGTAGTGCTGGGTGTCTGAGGAGCTCCAATCAGGCCTTCCTAGTCAGTCTGAACAGTATTGACTTACAAAAGGGATGGAGGATTGGCTGATGGTGGGATGGCTTAGAGTAGTGCTTCTCAAACATCAAAAAAATCACCTGAGATATTCTTTTTTTTTCAGAGAGGTTTCTGCTATAGGGCGCGTGTGATTGCCAGAAAGATAGACAGAGACAGAGAGACAGAAATCGAGAAATAACCCCCAGGGGGGATGGCCACACCACAATCCCTTCTCCTCCATTCTCCTCTCAGTATCTTGGGCACGCACACACACATGCCTGACGTGAGTTTAAGCCACTGGGTCTGGGACTTGAACCGTGGTCAGCTATATAGCCATTATGCTAACTGCTGGTC